TATATCTTTAATTACTGGCTTATCAATTGAGATTGGGGGCATCTTGGGCATGTGATTGCAGTGCAAAGCTTGTTGACATTGCTCTTGCCTCTGGAAAAATTTATGAGGGAGAAGGTTTCAAGTACATAAAGGAATGTTTTGAAACGGGCACACTGCACCTCATTGGGTTACTTAGCGATGGTGGAGTTCATTCCCGACTTGATCAATTACAGGTATGCTTTTGCGTACAGCTTCTCTTTCTGCCTGTCTCAAAAATTTATATTTATATCAACTGCTTTTCTGCAGTTGTTGCTCAAAGGGGCTGGTGAACGTGGTGCTAAAAGAATCCGAGTCCATATCCTTACTGATGGCCGTGATGTTTTGGATGGCTCAAGTGTGGGATTTGTGGAAACTCTAGAAAAAGATCTTGAAGAATTGCGCCAGAAAGGTATTGATGCAAGGATTGCATCTGGAGGAGGTCGTATGTATGTTACAATGGACCGGTATGAGGTAAGGAATATAACTAGTATGCATGGCTTTTATATTGCAGTTTTGTTGTAGGTGACCTCCATTGTTGGGACGAATATTTATGCATAGTCAAGAGGCCTACTCTCTGGGGAAATAATGAATTTTTAATCTATTTTTGTTCAAAATTGTTCCGAAACAGCTCCAGAACTTGTAAAGAACGTAAATGATGTGAATGAAGATCAGGATTGGTGTTGAGTTTAAACTGAAAATTTTAGTATTAATTTATTTTCTGTTTTAATTTGTGGGTTGTTATGAAAATCTTTATGTTAATTTTGAAATTTGAAAAGGTTGTTTAAAACTCAATTATCTTTTATATTTCTGGTATATTAATGTTATATTGATCATGGGACACACTGCAGAATGACTGGAATGTCGTGAAACGAGGGTGGGATGCCCAAGTTCTTGGTGAAGCACCCCATAAATTTACAAATGCCATTGAAGCTGTCAAGAGACTGAGGGAGGAGACAAAGGCCAGTGATCAGTATTTACCCCCTTTTGTTATTGTTGATGAGAATGGGAAGGCTGTTGGTCCTGTAGTTGATGGTGATGCTGTTGTCACATTCAACTTCCGTGCAGATCGTATGGTTATGATTGCTAAATCTCTTGAATATGAAAACTTTGACAAATTTGATAGAGTTCGTTTCCCTAAAATCCGCTATGCTGGAATGCTTGAATATGATGGGGAATTGAAACTTCCAAGTCATTACCTTGTTTCTCCACCAGAGATTGACAGGACTTCTGGTGAATATTTAGTGCATAATGGTATCCGGACTTTTGCTTGCAGGTAGGCTATCACTAATTCAATCTTTAGCAGACCTACCATTATTTTTTGAAATTTTATTTGTGTTTCTAGATGTTCATTCTTTTCGTTGATTGTGACAAATTTGTGAATTACAACTTTGTAATGCACAAAATGTCAATTTATAAACTTCAATTAGCTTTACTTGATGGAAAAGCTACTCGGATTTTTGCCCTTTAGCACTAAAGATAAGGCGTCAATAACTTTGGATAGGGGAAATTGGATATGGGAAGTAAAAATGTTTTTTATTAATAAAAAGAATTGAAACTGTCTCTGGCACCCAGGTTTGAGTGACTTTCCTTCTGGCCCTCTTTATCAGCTAGAAGTTATTTTCTGTTAAATGATAGGCCTTATATTCTCATAAATTTCTTTCTTTTTTCTAATAGTGAGACTGTCAAATTTGGACACGTCACATTCTTCTGGAATGGAAACCGTTCTGGATATTTTAACTCGGAATTGGAGGAATATGTGGAAATTCCTAGTGACAATGGGATCACATTCAATGTTAAACCAAAAATGAAGGCGTTGGAGATTGCTGAAAAGGCAAGGGATGCTATTCTCAGCAAGAAATTTGATCAGGTATTTTGAGTAATTCAGGTAATATTTGAGAGTGATTGTTTGATTTGAATAGCTTTCACTTACCTGTTTGTTTTATATGTTGCATAGGTACGTGTTAATTTACCAAATAGTGACATGGTGGGGCATACAGGTGACATTGAAGCAACAGTTGTGGCTTGCAAGGCAGCTGACGAAGCTGTGAAGGTATGGACATTTTGTTTTAAATTTATCAGGAGCATTTTTGTAACATGGTGCATCATGTGTTTCGTGACCTATGTGGAATTTGAGAATTCACTGCAGTGCAAGGGTTGATTATTCATAGATCAGAAGCGATATGGCTCCTTTAAGACAAAAACGAAAAAAGACCCAAAAAAAAATAAAAATTCTCTGCATTTTCACGGGACTTCATGCAACTTCATTTCTATTCAGTTAATATTTCTCCACATGTCAATTGTGTTCCAATGTTAAAAGGTGTGTAATTTTAAAGATAAGTTATTATCTCTTCCTTACGTTGTAGAGTTAAAAAATGTAGCTGTTGAGAAAACAAAAGGACAAGAAAGTGGACATCATATTCATAAATGAAGCCAATGCTTTTTTGCCTTTTTGAGCTGTGTTAAAAGGTTTATCAGTTGCGTTTTATGTTTTTTTTTTTTGGAAACTTCAACGATGGTGAATTATGTATCTCCATTTGTTCTGCTTCCATTATTTTCACTTCAATGAAATGTGCACCCTTGATTATTTTGACATTTATTGTATTATATGTGACTCAATTTTTATTGATTACAAAATACTGGATTTTTGTTATTGTAGTTGTGTTTATTATTAATTATCATTAGTGATGATACAGATAATTATTCGTTACTTTCCCCCCATATGGAGGGGAAAAGGAAACTTTACTAGTGGCTGGACATCTTCCTGCATCTGAGGAAGTAATCCATTTCTTGCATGTTTTTTTATGTGTGTTGATGGCTGCTGTAAGAAGTAATGAAATTAAAAGGTAGAGATATGATGCGTTCTCATTCGACCAACATATGATAATTGCAGATGATCCTTGATGCAATAGAGCAAGTTGGTGGAATTTATGTGGTCACTGCTGACCATGGAAATGCTGAGGACATGGTGAAGAGGGATAAATCTGGAAAACCTCTACTTGACAAGGAGGGAAAGATCCAAATCCTCACATCCCACACTCTTCAGCCTGTAAGTATTCACAAATTCTGGTAACAAAGATAAAAATCTTCCCTGCAGGACCTTAACCATGTGATTTGCTTCACCAACTTAAGGATGACCTTGCTAGTTTCTGCCAGTTCTTTTAATTAATATTAATAGCTCTGGTAAAATGTGGAAACATTGACATCTTTGCTTATAGGCCTGTTAGCAAAGTGGTCTTTATCAATACAATAGTGCATGCAGATGCGGCAGGCTTCAATTTTAAGTAGTTAAATGAGTGATTTGGGTCAAATTTTAGCTGTTCATTTAATATAGATAATTAATCATTCTTAATTTAAATTGACTGAGCTTAAGAGTTTGTTCAAAATAATCATCATTTTTATGCCTAAACTTGAGGGTATGCCAGAGGCTTCCCCAATACCCGTTATTTTTCCTTAGCGCATAATGGCATTTATTTGTGATGTTGAGGTAAATGCTTGTGTTCTAAATTTGGGTGGCTTTGCTGTCGCTGTTTCAGGTGCCTATTGCAATTGGAGGTCCTGGTCTGTCATCTGGTGTCAGGTTCAGGCAAGACCTTCCCAAGGGTGGTCTTGCCAATGTTGCCTCTACTGTGATGAATCTCCATGGATTTGAGGCTCCAAGCGACTATGAACCAACTCTCATAGAAGTGGTTGACAACTAGGGGTAATCAAACCTGAAATTTACGGTCAGAAATGAGGTAGTTTTTAGCCTTTAATTGAATAATTGACAATTCTTGTCCCACTACTTCAATGTGGGTTTTCTTTTCCTAAATTCTTGTCTGTATTATCCTGGGCTGGTGAACCAGGATCACTGTGTAATGCGATTTTGAATGCGGCTCTTTTTGTCAAACTTCTATTGTTTCTAATATATCAAGTCGGTTTACTTTTCATGGCTCTCTAGTATGCAAGACAATCTCTATTCTCCATATCTTCCTGGATTATCATATTATAGATTTTGATATTTATTGTTACATCAATTTCGAGCTGATCTGAATGTAAATCAAGATTTATATGGGGCACAATTATTATAATATGCGGTCCGAGGTCTTTACCACATGCATCAAAATTAAGGCAGGAGTATTGATAATTTGTTTTGATAAAAAAAAAAATTAACTGATAATTGTTACCCATTGGCGGCGAAACAATCTTTTCCCATATCATGAGCATCAACAGCAATAATTCCGTCTCAACTCATGCGAGTGAGTTGAGATCAGGACACGTGTCAACTTTTGATCCAAATGATTTTCTTTATGTTTCTCAATAATCAAATTGAGTTGAAAGCTCCATTGTTTTAGATTATAAAAAAGGTGTTTTAAATTATATAGAAATAGTATAATGTTTAAGAGTTTTATGATCAAATGTATGCTCTACCAATAACAACTTACTATAGTTTTATTTACAGTGTTTTTCAAAAATAAAAAATAATCTTATTTATGAGTTGTCATGTAAAAAGATAAAGGGTGAGGTTTATATACTTATTTTTATATATTTAATATATTTTTATTCAATCAAATTAAAATATATATATTTATTTTGATCAGCATGGCATGTGAATTTTAATATGTTAAAAATATTAATAATGATAATAATTTATTATAGAATAAATAATTTATACTAGATATACATGTCTTGATTTATTTAAAAATAAGCATCTTAAATATATAATGCTGTAAGTTTCTTTCAAAGATAAAATAATGTTAGTTTTATACTTCAAATTTAAAATATTGAAAAAATTAATTTGCCAGTCCATATAAGTTATAATTTGACTTGATTTTAAATCAGGTCCTTATATAATTTTTTTTATTTTTATTAAATCTAAGTTATGTCTATTTTTTTTTTTTTTTGGCAAAGCCAGATTATGTCTATTCAATGCGTTAGTCCCTTGCACTCAAAACCGTCTCTGGACTTTGGAAACGGCGTCAATCTACTACAGCGAGATTTGGATCCAATAATGGGCTTTGGCTAACAAGCCACTTTATTTTCTGAATCTGAGGACTGAAGGCCGGGAAAGGGATTTAGGTTCCTTGGCTGCAAATAGGGAAGTAGAAGATCTTGACAAACGTGTATAATAATACAACGTGCTTTTAAGACTATATTTGATTGAGGATTGTGATTCTTCATCGTGTGTGAGGCGTGATTCTTTGTCGTACATGAGTGAGTCGTGGTCAAAGGGAGAGATGGAAGATCGCAACAGGTGAGGTTTTTGAACAATTGACTTGATCGTTTGTTGTGATAATTGTTTCGTTTCCCATTTGCAGGGTCATTAAAGATGCCATCAAACAATCCCTACAACTTGGGCAACACAGTGTCTCGAAAGCTGAACTCAATAATGAAAATGTGGAGATCAAATTGTACTCTGTAGTCTGTACTATTTCATTGCCACTCCCACGTCATTATCAGATTCCATCTATAGAACTGCCAAAAAAAAAAAATCATGTGAATTGATTAGACAAGCCCACAATATAACGCTTCTCCTCTCCTACTAGTTGTTTCTCTTTGTCTGCAAAATTCATACACAGATGGTTTCCAGGGAAAGATAATAAGATCAAGAGAGAAGCTTCAAAGATACGAGAAGTAGAACCCATCGTGATGTCTCTTGGGAGTGTTATCCACGTTAGCAAAAAAATGTAAAGCATGAAACAGAGTGTGGTTCACATCTGTTTTTCCTGTTCTGCTTTGGACTTGAAGGATTATAATAAATGAATAATCAATAATAAATAATAACTTTTGGGATATTTGTTTAGTGGCTTTCAAAGTGGAAGAAGTCTAGGGAGGGAGCGGTTGAGAAGTGAGGGAACGGTACAGTGGGAAAATACTCTGGAAGCCACGTTTCCTGTAATTGACGCTGCTGACAAAGTCCAAAAACGATTTTTAGTGTAAGGACCAACAGCTTAAAAGGACATTTACTTTAAGGACTCTATAAAAAAAATTGCAAGGGCTTGATTCAAAATCAAGTAAAATTATAAGTACTAGTAAATTAATTTTTTTAAAAATATTTTTACAAATTACAAGGTGAATTTGAAAAGTTAAGATGTCCTTTGATAAATAAAATAATATGATAATCTTTTAAAAATATAGAAAAATGTTTCCTTTTAACACTAAAAGATATGGTTAATTTTGGTGTTGAAAATGAATCTTTGAAAATGGATTAGGGTTCACCTTCTCTTAAACAAGCACGAAGTTTGTTCATCATTTCTAATTGTAGGGGTGATTGTTGGCAAATGTTAGGCCTCAAAACTTATGAGACATTAAAAAAAAAAAAAAAAACAACAGAGTCAAAATTCACCCCGCAAAATTAAACTCTCCCATATTATTCATATTCTTTTGGGATACTTATATTCTGCATCATCTACCTTTTGTGTTATAAACTGCAGAATATACAAGTATGGTAGAGTAATAAAGTTAAAGGATAGTTTCACTTGCTTAACTTTCTTTTTAACACTAAGAAAGATGGATTCTTTTAGTGTTGGAGAAGGATCTACTTGCTCGTTTTTTTCAAATGCAACATATGCAGAGACGAATTTAGAAATGGGGCAGGTTTCACATTCTCTCAAGTCTTAAATAAGCACGAGATTAGTTCATGCATTCTAATTTTAGGTTCAATTGTTGGCAAAGAGTAGACCACAAAACTCTTCGGGAATAAAAAACAAAGTCAAATTTACCATATCCCATATTGCTCCTATTCTTTTGTGTATTATCTCATCAAACCCCACTAAACCAACCTCTTTCTTTCTTCTTCCTTCCTTCCTCATTTTGTGATCCTTCTCAACTAACTATTGCGTAATGCATTTCAACACAGAAAGAATACAACACAGGGAAGAATAAGGCATATTTTCTTGGTTTGATTGAGATCCAGAAGAGAAGAATCTCTTAGATTAGATATCTCATATAAAGGGAATGGAAGGATTGGATGGGTTGATAGAGAGGCTTTTGGAAGCGAGGAAAAACAGAGGCAAGAGGATTCAGTTAATTGAGTCTGAAATTCGCAACCTTTGTGTCACTGCCAAAGAAATCTTCCTCAACCAACCTAACCTTCTTGAGTTGGAAGCTCCCATCAATGTTTGTGGTACTTCTTTCTTTTTTTTGATAGTAAATATGTTTAACGTTACTACGTTAGATTATGAAAGTGTGAATGGATGATGTGAAAAGTTTTATATGTTAAATTTCAGGGGACATACACGGGCAATATCCAGACCTGTTGCGATTGTTCGAGTACGGAGGTTTTCCGCCGCAATCGAACTACCTGTTCCTCGGAGACTACGTGGACAGAGGAAAACAGAGTATTGAAACCATATGTCTTCTTCTCGCCTACAAGATCAAATTCCCAGAAAACTTCTTCCTCCTCCGAGGAAATCACGAATGTGCCTCCATCAACAGAATCTACGGATTCTACGACGAGTGCAAGAGGAGGTTCAGCGTTCGACTCTGGAAGATCTTCACCGATTGTTTCAATTGCCTTCCAGTCGCGGCGGTGATCGACGACAAGATCCTGTGTATGCATGGCGGTCTGTCGCCGGACATGGAGAACATGAATCAGATTAAGGAAATAGAGAGGCCAGTGGATGTGCCGGATCAGGGATTGTTGTGCGATCTCCTTTGGGCGGATCCAGACAGAGACATCAAAGGTTGGGGGGAGAATGACAGAGGAGTGTCGTTCACTTTCGGAGCTGATAAGGTTGCGGAGTTCTTGAAGAAGAATGATCTGGATCTCATATGTCGGGCCCACCAGGTACCTCCTTCGTCTTCCCCTCTTCTGAGATCTGTTCATCGTTGTTCATGGGCTATCAATACTCTGCAACCTTATTGAAAAAATTATACACGTTTCCCAATTTAGGACATGAAACTTAAACCAACTGTGTTGTTTAATTTATTATATATTGATAGAAATATAGTTGTAAAACTTTCAAGTTTATTCTAAAATTTAATTTCTTACATTTTTAATTTATAAAATTATATTAATTTATTTATAAATTTAAATTAAATATAAATTCAGTTAAATTTATAAGTTTACATCATAGTTTGTCATTGTTATGTTTCTAATTTATAAAATTATGTTAATTAAAAAATCGAACCAGATGTAAGTTTAATCAAACTTGTTAATTTTTTTTTTAAATTTAGCAAGTTAAGTATATTTTATAAAAAATTTATTTCATAAAAGTCATGAGACCTGGTTAAAAAAAAAAACTTAAAATACAAAAAATAATATTAATAAAAATAAAATCAAAAAATTAAAAATAAGTTCCTCTATTTTAAAATTTTTATGTCTTATATATGATAATTTATCAATATAGATGTATTTAATTTTAATTATTTATATTTTTAATATATTTAAATTAAATTAAAATTATATTTTAATAACTATTTATTAATAAAGGTAAACTCTTATGAGTTTATGATATAAATTTACATACTTATCATGAATTTACTTAAATTTATGAGTTTAATAATAATATATTAATTAATAATAGATGTGTTCTAACTTCTAACAAAAGTCAAACACCATTTACTCTTTTCTCTAATATTTTATGTGGTGTGATTGCTGTTACTTGCCACCCTTATAAGCAGGGGTAGATATTCTGAAAATTTGAGAATTTGTGAATTTTATGAAATTTATCTTTAAAAAAAGTGAAGATTTTGTATTTTGTAATTAAATAAAAATAATATTTTTTTATAGAAATTCATAGATTTTAATTTTAGAGGATTTGTTTTCATTATAAATAGTTCATCTTTGTAGATGAAATGGTTGAAAGATTGAAATAAAACATTTAATAATAAATTGTCCCCTGAAATTTGTTGAATTTTGTAGATCCCTATTTTATTTGTGAAATCAATAATGTCTTTCTAAAATTTTCATTTTTCCCCTGACTAAACTAATTCACTGTTTTAAAAAAAGTTCGAATTACACAAACTTCTTTTTTTTTTAAAACTTCAGATTTTTCTTGAGATAGAGAATAAATTATAGAGAACTTTCATAATTTTGGTTAAAATTATACATTCCTCAAGTTTATTTTCAAAACCTCTCTCTCTCTCTCTCTCTCTCTCTATATATATATATATATATATGCAGTTTTCAAAATAAAAATTAAAATATACAAATGTCTCCTGAATTTTATTAAAATTACACAAACTTCTCTTCCATTTTGAACATGTATCCGGTCATCTCTAGGCAATAGAAGCAATATTTCTGTGGTTTCAATAAAATTCAAGGGGTCTGCTTTGAAAATATGAAGAACAACAGTGAGGCCTCAAAACATTAAATTAATCATAATAGTTAGGATTTCAAAAATTTTTTTTAATAAATGAGGTGTAAATATCGACTTGGATACAAACACGAATCTTAGATATAATTTGATAGTTAGATTTGAAACTCAAATATTTTATCTATAAGTAAAGTTTTTAAATTTACACCTGAATTGATACTTGTAACTTATTTTTTAAAAATTTTTGTTGAAGACTTGAATGTCATTAATTTAAAATTTTGGAAGCTAATTGTCATTTTTTCTTAAAAATAGGAAGGAGATATATAGATTTAGCAAAACTTATATAAAAAAGGTCAATGTAATCGATTCTTGCCTTTAAAGAATGCTTGTATGAATTTTAATATAATCAAAATCCTATATGATTTTTATATTTTATATAATGAAAATAAAAAAAAAGGTGAAAATGACAGGTGGTGGAGGATGGGTATGAATTCTTTGCAGAGAGACAACTAGTGACCATATTCTCAGCACCAAACTACTGTGGAGAATTCAACAATGCAGGAGCTCTCATGTGTGTTGATGAGACATTACTCTGTTCCTTTCAGATTCTCAAACCTTGGAGAGGAAAAGCCCCACCACTTGAATAACCTTTGTCATTAGTTTCTTCTTTTTCTTTTTCTTATCTTCAAAACCACTCACATCTCACTGCACTTCACTTTCTCTCCCACCTCTTTGATGCATAAATAATTAAACCCAGGTGGGGTTTGATGTAAAGTTCCTCCAAATCCACAAGTTTATTTATTAATTATTATGTTGTTTTCAATTAATTAATTAGGGTTTTTGCTAATTGCAAGCTTGGTGACTCCACGTAGTGTGCATTGGAATAGATCCAGAGAAAAAACAATAGTGGGCATGAAGGATAGATGTAGATTTTCTTTTATTTATATTTATATAGTCATACTCGTTTATATGATCACTTGTTTTTTTTTTTGGCCAATATATGTTCACTTGTTCATTCTTCATGAATGTATGAATGTAGAGAATTTCATTTGATTTGGTAGTCAGTAATGTACAAGTTTATTCATTGTGATGTTCCCAAAATTTTAGGTTGGTTTTTATTATATATAGTATATCCAAATAATTCTAAAGAGAAAAGAGGGATAGCGTGTAACACTTGCCCCGAGTGTTATCCAAAAATCACACAATTTAAATACCATATATTTATATAAATACATATGCTAAACATTTTCACTTGGCTCAGAGCTCCTTGTGGGGCCCACGCACCCACTCTCTCTATCCAAGGTGTATGTTTGCCCATAACACATCATTTGCAATGCAACCACTTTGCATTTGCTTATAAAATCACATATATATCAAAATAAATATCTGCTTGTAATAGAAACTTGATCTACTAAGTAAATCCATCAAAACCACACACCATAACCAAGTTTTCTAGCCACAAATTTGCAAACAGACAAAAATTCATACACAAGCACACAATCCACACATATTGATACACACATACATAATCATATCCTACTGGCACCCTAATCTTAAATACATTACAATATATTTGCTCAAAAGAAAGGGGTTGCAGTTCTTTACAAATCACAAGCAAACCCCTAGCTTTGCTCCTTTTCCCGTCCACCACTGGATCTTTCGCCTGGACCTAGAATATTGAAAAGAAAGGGGTGAGACAACCATAGTCTCAGTAATAGTGAAATCTACATTGATTATTACAAAGTAAGCCATAATCAAATAAATGAATAATAAATTCAATATAGTATATAATTTAGCCATTTAAAATGCATGAATGCATGATTTAGGCCAGTATGGCCTTTCATGACCAACAGAATGCCCCCTGGCACTCTTTAACTCGCAGGTAAACCTTATACCTACTTGTACCTCTACAGGCACAAAATATAATCTAAGGCATGATCTAATCCACCAAACCTCCTATGCCCTTTCGACGTGAATTCTAAGCAGTTGAAGCTAACTCCCTCCCAGAGCCAACCCAACTTACTTTCCATGTGAGGGCTACCTTGGCCTAGGCACTCAACCTCACACTTCATATGTTGGATTCCCTCCCCCACTGAGAGGTGTCGAACACTCAATACACTAACCACTATAGTGCACTGAGCCCACAATATATAAGACAACACTGAGTACTGACAGTGTGCCATAGAATATCAAAAATCCACACCTTCTCATTGGTGAACTCCTACCGAGATCATGCCTTTTACTCTTGTCTACCTTTCCTGAGTATTGACCATTCAACACTCTAAAGTAGTATGATATTTATAAATCTCATTTTCATAAAAAACATTGTTATTAAACAATTAGAAAACATATTTGCACTATAATCAAAGTAGTACCCCATAACCCCTTATAAAGCACATTTAATCTTTTAAAACATGTAATGCATAATAACTAGTAATATTTATTCAAAAATAGCTAAAACAAAGTAATAAGAAATATAAATTCCCCTGTTACCTCAACCATTTGGTGTCAAAAGGGTTCCCCTTGTACAAAATAGGGCTCGGCTTGTTCCTTACTTCTCAATAAGTTCCACCAACAATTTCCTATAACATATAAGTGATTCACATCACTTATCATAACAAATAGCATTAATGAAGACTATAACTCATACCACACAACTTGGGTCAATGAGTCATAATCCACCCTAATGGTCCATATATTAAACCAACCATTCACATAGTATCACTTAACCACCAAAACCATTTATTAGCCATCACTAGGCTAATTTTTAATTTATATATTTTTTTAATCAATTAAAAATCTTACTTAGTGCTACCAACTTTCACTATTAGCCCTTATAATGAAAACCAAACCTTAATTTAAATCTTATTGGGCTCAAATAGCAAAATTATAACTAAATCAATAGGCTTAAACTATTGAGGAGCAAAACCCAATTTCTCAAAGTTTATTTTGTGCCCAAAACACCTCTTTTCATCCAATTATTCACTCAAAACATTAGATCACTATATAGAAACTCAAAACATGCTCCTTAGGATCTAAAGAAACAAAAGCTTACAAGAATAAAGCTTTTGGGATCAAAATCCAAAATCTCCTCTTCCAAAAATTGAAGAAAATCAAGAGAAAGAGAAGAGGATTGAAGTAGAAAGTTTACCTATCGTGTAGCCGAGCTCGCAACGGTCGCAAAGACTCCTAGATTCGAGCCTAACTCCCTCTCTCTCTCCTTTCTTCTTCCTCTCTCTCTCTCTCTCACGCGTTTCCTTTCCTTTCCTTGTTTTATTTTCTGCATTTCTGGTCTGCTTTCCCCTTATAAAAGCTGATCTAAAAGTTTGGAGAAAATTATAAGAAAGGGCCCAATATTTTTTTATTATAGCACAAAAGCCCTGGTCAACTTTAGTAATTTTTTTTATAGTTAAAAATCAAATAAAACTAAACTTTTGCTGAGTAAAATTCAAACTCTGGACCTCTATCAAATTATTTTAAATTTTAATTTAATTATATATATTTTATTTTATTTTATTTTTATAAATCCGAGTCTTAAAATTTCGAGATGTTACATAGTGAACATAAAGAAAGATGTGAATTTTGTTGGGAATGTTGAACAAAATTGATTAAGCTTGAGCGGACCAATTAATGTTCTTGTTGTTAAAGTTAAATATAGGTTATGAGATGCTTTGAGGTCGGAAACATGTCTTGAGCTAGATAAGTGTTGTGACTTGACTCGCCCAAACTGAAATACACTAGAAAGAAAGACCAACTTGGGAAAAAAATGAATGTTTATCTTTCTCAAATGATAAATGACTGAGATATAGGGTGGTGCAAAGAGTAAAAGCCCAAAGAGAAAGTGGGCAAAATATAAAAATATGAATAGTTGAACAAAAAAGATTAGTTGGGTTGGGCCTTCTCAAAGGTTCTTAATATTTTGATAACCAATATATATACAATCACGACTCTTCTATTACCTTAAATCCTTAATCAAGTTAGATTAAAGAATTTTCCCATAACTCATAAATTCTTAGATCAAATTTTGGTAATAATATGATGAATTTATTGATAAGCAATTTATAAACACCTCTATAAATACTCATTGAGCCTGGAGATGTAGGGTTCATTTGAATTTCAATTGGATATAATTAATTATAAAAATAATTAATTAAATAGTTATTTTAATCATAATTAATTATGTTATAATGAAATCTATTTGAATATTATTTTTTAAAATTAATTTTAAAATAATTGAAGATGTTTAGATAATTTATTTAAAATTAATTTTAATTGTATAAATTATTATAAAGGACATTACTTTTTAAATTTAAATTATTAATATATTTGTATCTAATATTATTAAATTTGTTAAATTTTACTTAAGAAGTAAAATATATTAATATTAATAATTTAATTTATGCAAATAAATAACTTAATATATCTTAGTTCAAATAAATTTAATAAAAAAGAAAGATTTAATTCTTAAATACCAAACACTAATTTTACAATAACTAATAAAGATGACAATATATAAATTAATTTCTAATAACATGATAGATATAAGTCATATTTAATGAAAATGTCAAGCATTACTTTAAAGTTTTGGCAACATAAAAAATATAATAATGTAATAAATGATGCAAAATTTCTCTTTTTCTTTAAATCTTTATGCAACAATCTTTGTCATGATGCTAAATTAAATTAATGATTAAAATTTATTTTTTTAAAAAATCTCAGCTTTTGAAAAGCTCAAAATATTAGCTTTTGAGTAAAGCTAAGATTTCTTAATGGTTAAAATCGATTTTTTGCTCTCCGGAAAAGCTCAAAACCTTAGCCTTTTTTAAAAAAAATCAATTTTAATGGTTAAAATTAATTTTTTGTTTTTTCAAGTGTTTGGCTAATAAACCAAATAATTGATTTTTGAGTAAGAAAATAGATTAAAAACGTATCCAAACACACACATACTTTGGCTTTAGCAAAAACTCTTGATGCCGAATTCACCCAAATTTATCTTAAAAAAGAAAAAGGCTCTTCTATTACCTTAGTATCCACGAAAGATCAAAAGATAACACGATCAATCTTGTACGCTTGAACCCGCACGCGAACACGCTATGTTATAATAATAAAGATTAATTTTGTAGTAATACGCTTGTCCACACATTATTATAATTTATAAGTATAGTCTTATCTTCATGTTATTAAACGATAAAGTAAAGTTTTCTGATTCTCTCGTGATCTTTTCAGTTTTAGAGAGATCTAGAGGACGACTTTGACTTGAAGTAGTGTCAATTTCCAAACTGCCAATACTCTCAATCAGTAGATTAATATTTTCTGAATACCCAAAAAAATTATAGGTTATATTTAAAATTATTTTTATTTTATTATTTTAAAAATTGGTATTCTGTAGAATATTTTTGAGAACAAAAAATTATAAAAATATGTGTTTTCTTGTTCTCTCTTATTTTTCAGATCAATAATTTTAAAATACTTTAAAATATTTTTATTTTTTTATTTTTCAGAATAATATTTTTTTTGTTATTCAAAACATATTTAAAATCATGTTACTAAATAATTTTTTTTTATTTTTTTGTTGTGAAGAACTTAACACTATTTATAAAACAAGTTGTCCAACAAGTCCTATCACAACTCACATGTGATTATAAGTACAAAACATACTCCTATCTTTGCATTAACAATCACGAGAAGAGAGAATGTATTAAAAAATTCTAAAAATAAGTTTTAGAAAGAAGACATGATTAGCTTGGTAATTGTATGATTACAAATGGAATTTTCGCTCCTTAACACAAAAGACGACAATATTATTGTGTTTAGTATAAGCGCTGCTCTTTGCAAAAGGACTGAACCGTTTTCTAGTGATGAAGACGAATTACAATTTTTCATGGGTTCATGAGAAGAAGGAAGATTAATACATGTTAAGTATACCCAAAAAAAAAAAATTTCTAGACAAAAAATTAAAATATATCAAGGAAAAAAAAAAGGATAGGTACATTTTATATTTTTTTCTAAAAAATATTTTTTTTACTTGTCAAACTGTGATGCACAAGGAAGACTTCTTCCTTCTAAAGTAATTTCTTTGAATTGAAAACAGTACGTATGAG